CTTAATGCCAACTGTGCAAATAATCATCGATAAGATGCTTATGATAAGCCGTTGTTTGTTTACCTTCAAGCTTTGCGTGTGCCCATGAAACAGCCTGTGAGCGGCAGCACACGCACATATTATGAACATCTCGACATGCGAATATGATCCTGTGAAAGTTGTTTACAATATTGATCATCAAAAGAGTTTGTAATTTAGTCAAATGTTTACAAATACAAGCGCAGCCGTTTAAAGCTCATTTGTGGTGAATGATGTCAGAATTTACCGGTATTTTGGAATGGATGTGTGAATGCTCTTTTGTGTGAACAGCGCTTTTTTGAACATACCGGTAAAGTCGTTCCGTAAATTTTCCGGATATTTTCCGGTATCACTGTGTGAAAGGGGCTCATGGTCAACAGTAACAGGTTTCCAACATTTTTCAAAACAAAATAACTTTTGTTTTTTAACTTTTGTTTTCTGAATGACTGTTATCTGACTGTACGAGGTATCCAGTAGCCGATATGTTAGACAACATTTAAATTCACACAATTCATAAGGGCCTGTGATACTGAATTCAACAGTTAAACAGGAAGGAAGGGAAAGTTCACTCATAAGTGACAATTTGGTCATCATTTACTCACCCTTTACTCGTTTCAAACCTTTAAGTTCCTGACACTGTTGTTTTTAAAAATGTTGGAACCTGTAACCGTTGACTTGTGTAGTATATGTTATTGTTATTATTAAAGTCAATGTTCACAGCTTCCAGCTTTCTTCAAAATATCAAAGTTGTTTTGTGTTCAACAGAGGGTTTGGAACCAGTTGATTTTAAGTAAATTGTATTTTTAGGGGTTGAATTATAACATTATTGTGTGGGTAACAAAAACAAACACTGAGTGGGTTTAAAAACACATTTTAGGCCCTTATTCTCTTACCAACAAAAATATTTCCACAACACAGAAATTCTCAGCTGTTCAACTTTGGTTCAGTGTTCGAGGTATCGAGAAGCCTATATGTAAGACAACATTTGAATTCCCTCAATTCATAAGAGCCTGTGATACAGAATTTAACTGTTAAACAGGAAGTACAGGGATAGTTCACTCATAAATGACAATTTGGTCATCATTTATTCACCCTTTACATGTTTCAAACCTTTATTAGTTTATTACTTTATTAGTGTTGGAATCCTTTAGTCGTTGACTTTCATTGTATTTGTTAATCTTAATATTAAAGTCAATGTTGACAGGTTTCCAGGTTTCTTTAAAATATTCATTCAAAAGCAGATCTATTCAGAAACCAAAGTTGAAAAACTGAGCATCCCTACTGAAAAAACAAACAAACAGCTTAAACCAGCCTAGGCTGGTTTTAGCTGGTCAACCAGGCTGGTTTTAGAGGGGTTGTGGCCACTTTCAGGCTGGTTTCCAGCCTGGTCTTAGCTGGTCAGGCTGGGAGATGACCAGCTAAAACCAGCTTGACCAGCCTAGACAGGCTGGAAGCCCAGCCAAAACCAGCTATGTCCAGCTTAAACCAGGCGGGTCAAGCTGGTTTTAGCTGGTCATTTTCCAGCCTGACCAGCTAAGACCAGGCTGGAAACTTGAAGTGGCCAAAACCCCTCTAAAACCAGCCTGGTCAACCAGCTAAAAACAGCCAACCAGCTTAGGCTAATATATATTTCTGTGTTGTAGAAATGTTTTTTTTTTTGGTGATTTACTTTGATTTACTTACCATCAAATGGTTCCAAAACTTCTGTTGAACACCCCAATAGTTTGAAGAAAGCTGTAAGCTGTAGCAGTGACTTCCATAGTAGCAATAACAAATACTGTTAGTAAATGGTTAGAGGTTTCCAACATTTTTCAAAATACCTTATTGTGTAGGAAACTCATAAAGGTTTGAAACAAGTAAATAGATGATGACTAAAATGTCTTTTTGGGTGAACCATCTCTTCCTGTTTGTATCACAGGCTTGTGCCTTATGAATTATGTGTGTATTCAAATGTTGACCAAAATATACTACTCGATACCTCCTAGTTAAAACAAATATGTCATTATCTTAGACGGTAAATACCTAGCATGTCTACAACTAAGATTTATAAAAGTTTATTTGTTGTTCACGTCAGTTAACGTTAATGGTTGTTACCAAAATAATATTATTAAAATCAATAAGGCTATCCACTTAATTTTAAATAGTCCACTGTGTTTAAAACGTTTATACCAAACACCACTACGGAAGAAAAAATAAGTCACTGGGAGAGAAAGAAAAACAAGCAAAACGAACCGAACGATTCTGGGATTCTACCTGGGCATGATGTCGGAGACAGGAAGCTAAAACGAAGGCAGAAAGCTTTAATTAAAAGCGAGAGGTAATGACATTCCGGCCTTAAGGCTTTGGTGAATCCGCAGCCTGTGGGAATATGTGTGTGGGATCTCGGCGTGTCCGCGTCCAGCCTCCTCGCGCTCCTGCCAGACTCCGGCTGAAAGTTAATTGGACGGGGAGAGTCTGAGGAGGCCCGCGCTGAGGCCCATTAGCGATTCCCCTGTCGAATGCAGAGCCACGAGGATCACAGACTCACAAATAGGCAGATTAAAATAATCAATACACTTCACTTGCCTCCGACACATTCGCACGAGCGCGCGCAGAATCAGAGCTGCACTGCACATCCACACACATCCGCGCTGAATGAATTCAGTAATTAGTGGAGGAGCTATTCAGCAGTGCTGGATGATACTTGGCTCTCTCTCTGCCTCGGTGTGTGTGTGGTCTAATGAGAGGGGAATAGTTCTGACTGGTGCCGAGAAGAGAGAGAGAGAGAAAAGGTCAGTGAGCTGTTGATGGGCTCGTCTTGGCACACAATGCATCATGGGGTATTTCAGCACACCTAAACAAACCCTCAGATTATAATCATAGGTTCTCTTAAATAATCATATGATGCTCTTTTACCTTTAACACAAATAGACCATTTTGAGGGATGTAAACAATAGCAATGGTCCTAACCTATTTCCTATTTCACATTTTTTATTTCTATGGCTTCAGAGAATCCAAAATAATCCCATATATTGATTATGTTATGATAGCTGTTTTAACATTAAGACATGATTGAATTGCCTCTTGATTCTGAAATAGCTTGACCACAAGCAGGAAATGTTGATAGGCCAATGACATGAGCACACTGTAATAGTGTATAGATGATTAAATAAGAAGTATACACTCTGATATATTATGTACAGACAGGCTTATGCATAATATAGGCTATGTGTTTTATTATACAATAGTCAACATTTGAAGTGGATCAAAATAGTTCTTTTTTTAACTGTCCTAATACATGAATGGTTGTTCAATAGTTTTAGGACCACTTTGATGAAAGGCGATGATCCAGTATATAGTGTGAGTGTGTGTCCATATATATATTTAAACACACACTTTATATCAGCTCGAACCAGTCTGGTCATTCTCCTTTGACCTCTGGCATCAACAAGGCATTTGCGCCCACAGAACTGCCACTCACTGGATATTTTCTCTTTCTTGGACCATTCTCTGTAAACCCTAAAGATGGTTGTGATATGAAAATGCCAGTAGATCAGCTGTTTCTGAAATACCCAGGCCAGCCTGTCTGACACCAACAACCATGCCACATTCCAAATCACTTAAATCACCCTTCAACCCCCTTCTGATGCTCAGTTTGAACTGCAGCAGATTGTCTTGATCAGGGGTTCCCAAACTTTTCAGCCTGCGACTTCCAAAATAACAATGCCAGTGACTCTGAGGTGGTTATAAATATTGCAAACAACAATAGGCCTATATAAACACAAGCATACTGAACAGTCTAACAACCACATTAGGAAATAATTTATAGAAATTTATTCATTTAAAATTAACCTCATCTAAAGAGACTGGTGAGCAATGTTTTCAGCACAACTGTATTCTTGGTTTAATTTTGCAAACCGCCACTCAGAGATCATCCCCAATGTTCAGTGGTGGCCTGTATTTGTTTTTAATGTATTTGACTGCCATAAAGGTGTGAGAAAGTTTAACCTGGTGCTAAAAAATCAATCTGCTGCAGCTGACTCTATTGCGGTGTTGTTAATCTTACAAAAACACAACAATCCTTTTAAAAATTAAAAGGCTGATGGCTTTTAATTTTCATGTTGTTGCTTTTTTTTATGTAACTATTAACTACTATTTTTATCTTTTGTGGGTTATGGATAAAATATGGTAATTCTAATAGTTTAATTAATTATTTGACTTTTGGAAATCACCAAGCGACCCAGTCACTGTCCTGCGACCATCACTTTGGGAACCACTGATCTTGTCTACATGCCTAAATGCATTAAGTTGCTGCCACGTGATTGGTTGCTTAAAATATTTTGTTAAGCAGTTGGACAGGTGTACCTAATAAAGTGGCCGGTGAGTGTATATTATACATAGTTTTGTGCACATTTCTTTGCCTTTTTGTTTTGTTTTAAAAAAAAAACACTCAATTTCACATTTTTGCAATTAATAAAATGTAGATTCCTCTTTAAATGTAAATGTATTAACCTCATATCTTATAGCATAATCATTTAAATAAACCAAATATAAACAAATCTTCATTTCATTTCCTGTTGCTTATTTTTAAATAAATATACAAAGATGTAAATGCTTAAAGCTGTTAATAGATGAGGACAATTTAGAAAAGCTTGTCAGCCTGGGGTTTGCCCTTATAACCAATTGAGACAAATTAGGTCTGAGCACTAAACATCTTAGTGCCAACAACATTTGCTTTTAATTTAAGGTGCTGACCCGAAACCAAATAGTGATCCTTTGGATTGCATTAATCTAACTGCACAAGAAGTTCAGCAATTTGCTCTAATTTTACTCCAGACAGCTTGGTTTTTACAATGAAGCACAATCAATTTAAGGAACTGAGGTCAGTTCAGCTCTCAACAAGTGTAAGGATACTGCCATCTATCTGCAAACAACAGAAGCGCAAGACGTGTTTAAAAAAAAAATATAAAAATACACAGAATCTGAAATAATAAGACGGGTAGTTTGTTTAAAATGTACTTTATTGGACCGCGAAAACATTCCGAGTTAATTAAAACAAAATGTTATTGCCTTTCTGGTACATAATTTCTCAAATTGAAAAAGTTACTGTGAAAAGGCCAAAAACAAACATCTGGCCAGACACGACATTTCTACTCCAGCACAGTTCAGCAGAGATGCCTGAGGATACACTAGATATTGCGTACACGCTGCCGATATGTGCTGCATCAAGAGCTTTTATTGCAGAGCGCTTCAGCACACAAGAGATCTTTTTCATATCGCTATATGGTTTGAATACCACAGGACAGGAGCTCTATCTCTTGGGGAGTCATATGGGAACTTAAAGAAGATAAAGGCACTTCTAATAATAATACCCAAATGAGTGCACACACACAAGAAAAACGACTGGAGCCACTAAGCAAATGAAGGTGAGGGAATGAATAGGAAGAAGAAAAAAAAATACACAGAAATTATTACATAGAAAATAAGACAAACAAATGGATGTGGTCTTTATCTTCAACCGCTCATGACCATGCGGACGAGCTCTGTGAAAAAGAACAGAAGAAATAAAAACAAGTTAGGGTCCATTGTGCATCAAAAGGGGATCAACCCAAACTACAGCATATTAGGGGGAAAACAAATGGTTCTAATTGTTCAAATATTCATTTCAGAAGTGTTTAAGTCACATCTTTTCCTACTCACAATGTAATACGTTTATTAAATGTTATTTTATTTACATTTGTAGTAGGGCTGTGCAATATGACTAATATATATATATATATTCAAGTCAGGTTTCAAGTCAAATTCAAGTCCATTAAGAATACAATTTTAGACATATACAGGGTTAAACACTAAATGTTTTTCTAATGACCTGGTATTATCATGAGGAATCATGTAATTGCTTAGTTTTCTTTCCCTAATTAGGGGATTTAATAGGCAATGTCTAACAGCTATTGTGAACTGTATCTCTGCAATAAAAAAAAAAAACAAATATAAAAATAATTTTATGTTTGCAACACAGTGGCACAATGGTTAGCTCTGTTACCACACAGCAGGAAGGTCACTGGTTCAAGACCCAGCTGGGTCAGTTGGCATTTGTGTGGACATTGCATGTTCTCCCTAGGTTGGCAAGGGTTTCCTCCACGGCCTCAAAGACATGCTGTAGGTAAATTGGGTGAGCCAAATTTGTTTGTGGTGTATGCCATGGTCCTCCCCATTTGGAGTAACAACGTTTTAAGCGATTTTATCTTGACAGACTTATCTTGATAGACTGACTTTAAATACACATACTCTCATTTTAAAAATCACACGACCATCATCTCAATGTTTCTGAGTTTTCTATGACAGAAATCGTTCTTATGAGGTAATCTGGGAATACTTTCAGTGCATTCCTAGTACAGTTTTTACACTTTGCATCTGTAATCTGTAAGCTTCTGGAAAGATTATTAGTTATCGCTTATTTTAGGTTTCTAAATAAAAATTAAAAAAATTGCCCTGTTTTAAATAGAGTGAGAATCATCACATATGAAGAGTACATTTGAGAGTATACACATGAATGGAAACAGCTTTTGTTGGTGATGTATCGTTATCAGGATAAGAGATGGCACATCGTGAAAGAGATGTGTGTCATATAACCCAGCCCCAAGTTGTAGGTTCATTAAATGCAAATCTTGTCCAAATATCATTCAGTTTTGGCCACTGCTGTGCATAAAGCCAAATGCCCTCTACAGATCCTCACCAACCAGTCAACTCAAACTGATCTCTGCCTGACACATTTGCTGTAGTTTGAAGCCGTTCCCCAGTTCTACTCATTCTTTAGTGGTGAGAAACAGGGTGAGAGCAAGATCATGGCTAGCTCCTACTCAACCTTAGCTCAAAGACTTAACCAGGTCTAGGAAATCAAGAAAATGTTAAAGAAGCTCCTTCTGGTTTTCCTCTACAAGGCAAGAGTGGAAATGGTTTCACAGCACAGTAATGAGAGATCGTAGAGTTGAGCTATGGTTCAGCCTCCATCAGGAAAAGGGAGAGAAAGATCAGCAAAAACAGCCTAAAATCACTGCAATTTGATTGGTTAGTTAATAATAAAAGCAACTGCACTGCTTTGGGGAGCACAGGAATGGTGTGTACAGATTTTTCACAACACCGGAATTAAATCTAACGCCCAAAGCATACTGTTCACAGTCAAACAGCACCACACACAAACAGGAAAATGACACGTGTGCACTAGAAAGATTCATCTTTGTCCAATGTCAATACTTTCTGTCCAAAACTTACAAGCAATAAAAGATAAAGTTGCTTGTATCTTTAAATTCCCTCTCACTTGCAAAGCACAGGTGTCATATTTCATGAGTTAAACACATGCAGTATAAAAACTTAACACTGATCAAAATTAGAGAACTCCTATTAGAGATTCCTCCTAGATATTAGTGTTAACCTGATTCTGGTGGTAAATTCATTAAAGCAACACTATGCAAGTTTCTAACAGCTCAGCCTTGTGGTTGATATGCACAATTGCCCATTATCATGGACATAAAACCTTACTGTTGGCAGTGAAATTTACTGCATCAAGGTTAATAATGAGTTTTATTTCTGTATTACTGATCGTAAACAAATTGTTTTTTTCACCTCTAAGGGCGTACTCGCATTGTGTACAGTTGCCTTGAACCGGACCAAAGCACGCTTGTACCCCCCCTCCTGTCTCCCCTGACGGAACGCACTCATTACATTCGGGCCTAGGCACGCTTACGACATCGATGATGCACTGTTTAGTAGAGAAGCGCTCTAGCTCAGCACAGTGGAGATTTCTCTAGTTATATTGTTTTAGTCGTTTTGGGATGAAGTGAGACAGTCAAATATTTCGACAAACAGATCCGCCACTTTTGACGCTCATAAGCAATCATAAAGTCCTTGTGCTGCAGAAATTAGGAGATTTGGTGAAGGCGCAGCTGTGGTGCAGTGAGGGGTTTGCGTCTTTAATAAACTACGACAGTTTGCGTTTATTGAGGTGTTAGAATGATTAATAAATCCATATCAAACAGTCTCTGAAAAGTCATGTCTTGCTTTCATTTTCGGGCGTAGGTGCGTGTTGCACACACACATAAGTGTACCGCGCCAAAGCCAAAGTGAACCACGCTCAGGCACACCTCTTCCAACCGGGCCAGGGCCAGCCAAGTGAACCGTGCTCAAACAATCCGGGAAACGGGCCTGGGTACAGTTTGGATACCATAGTGCGAGTAGGCCCTAAGTCAACCGGTTCAACTAGTTCACCAAATCCAACTGAATCATTCATAATGACTCGAGTCTCATGCAAGCACTCTTATCTACAAATTGCAGAACTTAATTTTAAGAAACTTTTCAGATCATGATGATGTTTTAACTGACTGAAATTATGATTGCTGACTACATATTTTTGGTATGTTGGGTCAAAACATGGGAGAAATGTCACAAAACATCTGGTTTGGGTTAAAGATCCAAAATTCTCATCACAACTGTATATCTAGCCTCAAAAGCAGTCTTGCACACATTTTCTTGCACCTATTAAATATCATTATTAACTTAAAAAAAAAACTAATACTGAAACTAAAAAAAACTACGCAAATTCAAAATATAAAAACTAAGAAAAACTAGTAAATCTACCTCAAAAAATCAATTAAAACAAACTGAATTTGAAAATAAGTCATAACGAAATAAAGACTAAAACTAATGAAAAATGCCAAACTATAACCTTGCTGCATATTCATCGATGAGGTAAAATAGCTTGTGTTATACTGCACTTTATTTCACAAAAATCATTTCAGTTAGCGCAATCGAGTGTAAGCCAGTTCAATGAAAACCAATTCAAATCGGTATTTGGCCTCATGTTTGATTGGACTCACTTTTTCTTGGCTTCCTTTGCCAAAACACTTTCAGTTTTCTTTAGTGGGTCTGCCTTGGCGCTTGTATTCCTTCTATATTAAATCTGTTTTGGCCAACTCCACCTAGCCTACAAAAACTACCTGCGAAATTTGCCCTAAAGCAGATCTCACTGTTCCGCTCAGGCATTTATATAAATGTCCATAGTGGCTGTGGGTACTGGATGGCTCAACAAAAAGCTGCATGGTTATTTCAGGTAAAAGATCTGGAAGCCAGAGCATCTGAATACATCTAGTTAGGCGTTTTTCTACCACTGATATGGTTTCAGACTGTTATTTTAAAGGTCAAAAACTTCCATAGTGCTGCTTTAATTATTTAACAAACCCCATTTTAGCTGGCAGTCCAGATAAAGACAAAAGAGATGATCCTTTCAGCCATAGCAAAAGAAGTCGCTTGTTCCAAATCTGGTTCTTCACAAAAAACAAAACGCACAAGAGGACGAGATAATGTGGAGAACACTGCAGCTTGAATTGCTAACTGACCTGGGTCTGTCTTGCACTGGTTAGCACAGTAAAATAAAATTAACAAGTATGGTACATCCTTGACTAAAATCTCTTCAAATTTATCAATAAAAACTTAATATTTATAAACTGTTCTCTAATTTTGATCTCTACTGTACATCACACACAATCTGAATTGCGCACAAACCCTAGTACACCTTGGGCTTTAGAACGAACATATGTCAAGTCCTTTAACCTGTGCTCACACCTGAAGCAGTGCAGTCGCCCTTTCGCCTCTGAGAGCCGTTGCAGGGACGGCCACATGCAGATAGCATGCTGCAGCCAGGGGCCAGAGAAAAGGCTGCTGCAGAGATAGGGAAAATTCCAACCATATGTCAAAACCATCAAACTGCATCCAACCAGGCTCTCTAGCTCTAGACGTCACATGATGCACAGCTACGCTGTGAATGACTATGCTGAAAGATGCGAAGAAATAAGGAGTAGACTATGCAATCATGTGCGTCTAGAGCATTAAAAAAAAAGACCTGGATAGATTGTTGCTTCACGTGTTATAAATGTGGAGGTCAGGAGGCGGACGTACACCAGAGGCATCTCTCAACCAGACATGATGTGGCGAACGAAGGCTGTGGAAGATCAGTTCAGTTACAGTTATCGCATGCTATCATCAAAAGATTTTTCACTGCGATGCATAACAGTAGAATACCGTCAAAATAATAATTTAACTCCAAACACATTCCTAAAGTTTGGACTAAAATAACTACCGTTAAGATCATCAGATAAACAGTGAGGGCTCTCTCTTTGTGAAACTAAATACATAAATCAAACTTTATTGTTTACCTTCGTAATTGATGCAACCGTTAGCATCTTCATGTCCTGCTAGAAGTGTTTCTACCTCCTCTTCGGTCATCTTTTCCCCTATAAAGATACAGGTTTATCAACTAGAGCACTTTATCCTAATATTCCATTTACCTATTATGACATTCAGTGGCCTAGATGTGGAGTCGGTGGTTATATATATCCTCACAGGAGACCTGGCCAGCTTACCCAGTGTGGTGAGAACGTGGCGGAGCTCAGCACCCATGACTGTGCCGTTGCCTTCCTTGTCAAATACTCTAAGCCCCTCCACAAAGTCCTCAAACGTGCCCTGGTCTTTGTTCTTGGCGATGGCCTGGAGCATGGGCAGAAACTGCTCGAAGTCCAGCAGTTTATGGTTCATTTCTGAGGAACAAAGAAGCCTCTAATCAGACAAGATAGCATTTATTTCCATATTATACAGGAAGCAAGACCTACCATTACTGACACATTTGATCTAAGTATTAATGTTTGTGCAAATAGATGGCGCAGCAATAATGATAGGCTAGGTTCAGGCTGACTATGAGAACTCCTGACCTTTTAGGCCAGTGATGTGTTGTTACAAAAGTAAGCAACATTTGAAGTGGATCAAAACCTTTCATTGAAACTTATCCTGAATGAACATTAAGCGATCTCATTTCTGTCTTCAAATTTTGTACCATAAGCCAATACTGAAAACAAACATTTAGTATCGTTACATATTAATATACTTTAAGAGAGGAAAAAACTTGTAGCGATTTTTTTTTACTGCTAATAATATTGTAAGATTTGTGGGTTGAGTAAAAATATTGGCAGGAAAAATTTAGATAGTTGTGCTTTATACTATACACACAAGCATACACACACGCGCACACACACACACGCACGCACGCAACTAAAGAGCACATTAGAGTGGCAAGCTGGAACAATCGTTTGCCACAGTCTTTTAAGATTTTCCCATGCAATTTTACAACAGGTTTTCAGTTTATTCAGTATCAGTACAATATCTTCTATAGTAAACATAATTTGCCATACAATGTAATAAACCATACTGAACACCAACTTTTATACCAATTGTGTATTTTAAAAAAGGCAAAGTTTAAGGAAAAGCTTAAGGGGAAGAACCAAACTAGTATTCCGAATTTTGACATTATCGCTGCACAATTTTACACCAAACTTAAAAACTAGCCAAAAGCTAGGGTAGGGCTCTTTGCGGTGAATGTTTTTAAAGGGCAGAAAGAAATTATTTAAATAAAACCATTTGCTCCAGAGTAATTTTAGCATCATGGATGTGACATCTGCAGTAAAAACTCAAAACATAAATTCACAGAGACCGTATTTGTTAACATTATTTACTGAAACATGTTTATATTTTCCAAAAACGCACACCAGTTATGGGATAAAAAAAATATCAATCTGTAAACATTTGTATATTTTAAATAAGGACAATAAACATGCGTTATGGATGTGACCAAAAAAAGGATGCGAGTTTACAGTACAGCATACTTTGTAGAAATTCTGTGAATTGAACTGCACAACCCAAAAGAAACAATGCTAACCAAAAGGATAAGAGTTGGCTCTCTACAGAACAAATATTGATTTTATCTTATACGTTTTACATTTATGAGCAAAAGGTTTTATTATGGATTCGACAGATGTGAAATTGGCACTTGTATGACTTTGGAAAATCAAATATAATTGTTTGAAAACACTGGCAGAGACATTTGAGTATTTCACAGTAGTTGTAGCATTACTTCTTCATTTTCTTCATGGCAAGACTAACATTTGCAGGGAATAGCCCTCCAATGACTCAAAGAATGAGTTGAATTTTTGAACCGGTAGTTCTAATTACAGATGCTAAAACCAATCAAAAGGGATGCATGCTGTTCAGAATGGAACCGTCGTCCTACCTTCTGCTTTTGGGTTGCCCAAGACCTTGAGCACCTCAGCATTTACAGGGTTTTGGCCCAGCGCACGCATCACATCCCCACACTGATTGTATGTGATCTTCCCATCTCCCGTCCGGTCAAACAGGAGGAAGGCTTCTTTGAATTCTGCAGAGATTAGTGATTAAATAAAGTTAAACAAAATGCTGGGAAATGAGCAGAGAACAGAAAAGATGAGAAACATGCATGATAGACAGAAAAAAAGCAAATAGAAATAAACAGGGATGAAACACACACACGGTTGGTTTTATTATGCACTAAAATAGGACATAATATAATAATACTCGATGGTAAACACATAATGGCAGGCCATTGCTTTAAAGAGCCTGACTTAATTTAAGGAGCCCAATGGATCAGCACAATGAGAAACCCTGCACCAGCCATCAATATTAATGCCACTCAAGGCTATTTTCTGCGGTCTCTATTCAGCTTAGTTGTGACAAGCTGAATGACCACAGACATCTTATCTGTCCACCTTTAGCCATTATACACTTTAGGAGACCTTTAGATCACATTAATAAGCTAGTCAAATATTCAAACATTAGCCATTTAAGATTTTTGCCAATCTACATTATTAACCTTATTATACTTTACACAGTCTAAAAATACAAAGCAGTAACACAACATTTATTTCTTAAATATTACATTGGCAATGATGTTTAATTGACCAGGAATACATTAGCATAAAAAAAACTACATTCATAAAACAAAATAGATTAGATTTGTTTAAATAAATATAACCAAGTTTTATTAATTCACATAATTTATTAAAACACAAAACTTGGAGATAAAGTAAAACAAATACATAAAGCTAATTCAGTAGCACTTAAGTTTAGGCCACAATTCACAGTATTTACAAACCTTTAACACCATTAGCTTTAACAATTATGAATTAACTGTTTATTATAGTTAGTAAGGTGCAAGCTGGGTTTGGGTATTGGGTAGGCTTAGGGATTTAGAATAAGATCGTACTTTCTAACTACTAACGAACAGTTAATATCTTAATAATAGGCATGTAATACGAAGAAAACTGTGTCCTAAACTAAAGTGTTACCGACGTTATTTTTATTCAACTTGTGTTGAACATAACTGACAAATAGGCTAAGGTATATGCACAATCAATATAAAAAAATAAAAAAGGTCTGTTTAAAAACGAGAATTGTAATACCGATCACAGAGCTTATTGCCAAAGTAATACAAATGTGTTTCTAAAGTATTTCAAACTAACTAATAATAAAGTATAATCCCTGTTAAACTTCATATGTCTGCTAATATTCCAAATGTGTGGTCTAAAGGTTTGGACGATAGAGGTACACAATATCACTGCCTTTGGCAATGTCCTAAAATACAAAAGTTTTGGAAAGAATGTTAGACATGTTCAATATTAAAAACCTCTTTAAATGCTAAGCTCTGTATTCTAAGCTTGTATCCTATGGAACTTCAAGCCACAAGGGCTACTGCATTATACCGGCAATATACACAGGCATGCTCAATCCATAGAATTTTGGGAAAAAGAATTAATGGACTGTATTGAACTGGAGAAACTAACGTTTATTAAAGCAAGCAGAAGGACTTGGTCTATTTTTGGGAACCATAGGGTTCATACACATTTTTACTACTAAAATCCAATGACGTTTCCATGATTTCTCCAGGACTTTCAAGTATATATTTTATATTTTTGTTTTGTTAAAATATGTTTTATATAATGTCTACGTTTACATGTTAAATAATAATAAAAATGATGCATCTTCAAAGTTATAACAGCATATCATTAAAATTGCAACAATCTATTTAGTTTATATAAATCTTTTTATCCATGTAAAACATATTTAGATAATGTTAATACAACTGCACAAATAGTGTGAGCATGTTTTTGCCCATAGACAGAACAAAAGTAAAGACAACTAAGTATACAGACATTTGTTAAACTAATTTCTATGACTTTCTCAAAATATTGTGGGTTTTTCAGTTTTCCAAGGCAATTTCCATGCCTGGAAATGTTATCTCATAATTCCATGACTTTTCCAGGTTTTTCATGATTGTATCAACCTTGCATACATGTGTGTTTGTAAACATGATTTTTTATTGTATTGTTTTTGCTATTTTGTCATTATCTATTTTTCAATTAATTATTTTTATGTATTTATTATTTTATTTAGTTATGTTATTTGAATATTTATGTGTTTGTATATTTGCACATACATATATACATATGTAGATATGTGCCGTTTCGTAGGCTGCATTGTTATCATGCCTAGTTAAGGGGGGGGGGGGGGTGTCAATATACATGTTTGAAAAAAAAATTATTTTCTTTTTTCTATATGCATGTACAAACCTTTTTAAATTAAACGACAAAATAAACCTCTAAATTACTAACAGCCTCAACTAAAATCCATAACTGAGTGTTTCGCTTTATCAGTTAAACTTTGAGAGGTTCTAAATAAAACTACTACTTTGACTCAAAGTCAGAGATCAGAAAAAACTGAATGTTACTCGTTAGGACAGGCCTTTCCCAAAAGCAAAAAACCTCCCATGTCTGTAATGCTTTTCCTCCTCACTGGAATGTGGCTGTTCCCTTGCATGCCTTAAATTGAGCGTTTAACCATATATGGTATGATAGGAAAACGCCAGAGCGAGCACTATTATGTCAACCTCCTTTGCTTAAACAAACAAGAGCAAAGATGAACCCTAAATGGCCAAACAACAAAAAAAGCTCACACCATTGATGGTAACACAGATGATGACCGATATCTTCAAGTTTAGATGAAGCGGTTTGACACGTTAAAGCTGTTAGCAGTCACACTCTTTTGTTAGCAGAATTTCAACACTTCCTGACTCAGACACACCCTCTACAGATATGACTGTGAATGGTATTCAAGAAACCCATTCCCTGATAGGCCTAGACTTTAAAAACGAAACAATAATTCTCAGATAAAACCAATCATAACTACTGCAGCTGATTTAAAATTATTTATTACAGAATTCACTTTAAATGGTGGAGGCAGGTGAGGCGTTTTCAGACGCACAAACAAACAGCTTGTTGTCCTTTTAACACCATGCAAACTTAATGACACCATAACAGAAAAGGTTTACAGTGCACTCACCATGTATTTGCTCCAAGTTAAACTCAATCTGGAGGTGACATACAACCGTGACAAAGGAAAACAGTTCATAGGTAAGGAAAGAAAGCTGGAGGAATGCAGGGGCAAAGTAACATGAGCAGAATAAGTTAGCATAGGCGGGATGAAAAACGCAGAATGTCTAGGAAGAAATGGGAGAAAATAACACATATAATGAAACAAAGTGGGATGTATCTGAATGAGAGACAAACTCACCAAGAATCTGATCCTCGCTGAAGTCAGACTGTTTGAGACAGAGCGACATTTAATGAATATGAAATGATGCACATTTGCAAAGCTGTGAATCAAATGGGACTTCTGATAATAATGATACATAAATAAAAAATAATCGCTGTCCATAAACTCCGTCTGGGAAAGCATTTCTGTCCGACTGGTAAAGATAGATAAGTTTTTCATGCCTGGCTAAAACTGTCCAGCTAATACAATCAGCTAACCAACAGCCGTGCTACCGAGTGACAGAAAAACTAAAACAGGCCATTTTAAAAGAACGCGAGTTAACTATCAAAGTCTTAAATTCATGTAAAGTAGATTAATGAACAATTAGCATACGTATTTAACTTTTTTGTGTACTAAATGGCATAACAACTCTGTTAGCTAGCATAAAACTAAGGCTAACGTGAACGGCATTCTTTCAGTACTAACATTGTATATAGTTACCAAACCTTACAGTTGGCTGTGTTTAAACACAAAAGTTGTACCTAACCATATTTTTTTTAATGAAACGTTTGTTAATATCCGTACCATTTTTGCAGCGGCTTGTTTTCCGGGTGTGTGAGTGTATGTCGCGGCGGGAGTGTGAGAGATAACTCGCTCTAGCGCTGCTGGGTTATGAAGGAGATCGTGAACGAGTCCTTCCTTAGAGTCGAATCTTCTGAATCTCATCACAACACCCGAATGAACGATTCGGTCAGAAGTTGGAGTGAGTCATCAACTTCATTTAATTATTTTATTTTCGGCTTAGTCCCTTTATTAATAAGTTCCTTTTAATATTTATAAAATATTAAAAATATTCTAATAATAATATTAATATATTAATATTCCTTCCAGCTGCAACTCATCACTGGAAAAACTTTATTTTCACACTTATTTTATCACTTGTTTATTTTTTGGTGAAAAAGGTAAAAGGTGAGCTACTTTAGTGTCATCCATGGTTCACGACTTTAAATTAAGGCACAGACTATAAAAAAATGGGCTCCAGAACCCAAGTTGAGAACAGATGTTCATGTTTCACCAATGCGTATTTACAAACAGTATAGGCCAATACCATTTTAATATTTCAACAGAGATATGTAAACTACTTTTAGTTTTATTTTATGTAAATTCCAACTATAACTTGGTTGTAACACACATAGCACAATTTCTCTGGCCCACCTCTGGCCAACCTAATCAGATTTTGCTTGGCCCACATGCCGCAATAAATTACGGTTCATGACTAGACCAAGTCTGGCTTCCAGACAAGGGCCAAACATGGACCATATCTGGGTCAAGTCTCGGCTAATTTAATAGCACATAACTGGGCCTGAACTAGGCCAGATAGGTTGGTGTGTCACGATTGCTATGCAATTAATAAACCCATGAAGCATTGCGGTAGGCACACTATGCATGCTGCATGCTTTGTCTCAAATAATTATAAAAAATAATTTTAATGTATTTTAAATGTGGGTCAAGACAGGCCAAACATAGATGGCCCACATATCAAATTTTAACATCTGGGCCAAATACTACATTTAAAATCTGGCCCAAATCTTTTGTGCCACTTTAAAGATGGTGCCACCTTTGCAAAACCCAGGCCATGTTTGGTCCACATGCTGTATGCAAGTGCTGGAAGAATGCCTGCTGTGCCAGCTCTATGCCAAATCTGGGCCAGAATTCTTTGCTACCTGGGAAATTACGTTGAGGCAACAAACTAATCCAGGATGAATAGAAATAATTAATATAAAAAGATTATATCATCAAATAAAATAAGTAGTATTAATAAAAAAAGATCTTGATTACTAGATTTCAAAGCTTAAAAAATGTGAACAGCAATATGTAGCCTACCTAAAATTGATTTATAGGAACGCTTCACTAGAGAACGCCACGCCTGGACTTTGCTACAGCGGCTTACGTCATGACGTAAAATAATCACCGAATCATTTTTTTTAAAAGAACCGACTCGTGAAAATGACTCGGTCTTCCCTTCAGTGACTGGCGGATGAGTCTTTTTACACACAAAGAGTGAAAAACACACGCCCAACGCAGATCACTACACCATAATGACTGACTGCACAATAAGCAAAACACGTGTATCTTGAATGCTGATGGTTGGCATGTTTGTGAAGGCATGCGAATAAGCTTTTGTTGTAAGATACAATTTCTGTACTTAAATTATTCATAAAAGCACATAGAGGTGTATGTTATATGTCATATAAGAAGATTTGTGAATTATTTAGCAAAACAAAGGACATTATAAAGTAAATTTCCTCAACAACAGGATAGATGTACTGTAAGCCCTTTGTTAAATTCCTACACACACATAAAAAACACTAGATCCTACTGTAATTCAATATCAGATTGTTTATGATCTGCTCTTATCATTTCAACATAGATCTATGAAGAAAATCAATTATTTAGCACGTTCAAGGAAAATTCAAGTTGACAGTAAAGCAGCTTGACTTGGACCAGCTACAGTACATTGCTGCCACATTTCCTAATCCTGATATAAGCATGCGAATAAGCTTTTGTTTGTAAGATTCAATTTCTCTACTTCAATTATTCATATAAGCACAGAAGTGTTGATTATAACACAGATGTGTTGATTATATGTCATATAATATCATTTGTGAATCATTTATCAAAACAAAGGACATTATAAAGTCAGTTTCATCAACAACAGGGAAGATGTAGGCCCTAACGTTAATTTGTTAAATTCATACACACATGCAAAAACATTATACTGTAACTCAATCTCTGATTGCTTATGAATGATCTGCTCCTTTCATTCCAACATAGATCTATGAAGAAAGTCAATATTTAGCAGGTTCAAGGGAAATTCAAGTTGACAGTAATGCAGCTCAGCTTGGACAAGCTACATCGCTGCCCCATTTCTCAATCCTGATATAGCTGGAGTATTCTCTCAAGATTTGGGGGCTGGGTTGACACAGTTTCCCCTGTGCTATGCTGAGGTAACCAGAAGCTGCATAAAAAGATTACCTTGATGATTTATTCATAACAATCCAATTCAGATCTGATGCTTGGATGGCAATAGGGCAGTCTATGTTGTTATAGAGAATATAAATAAGTTCACACCATAACATGCAATCTAAATTCTGTTTTTGCTATACATTTTCTTATTATTTTACTGATACATATTAATGAACTGTTGCTCACAATGATTAGTCAGGACAATTTCCTTAATTAAAATCTCTGTTGCTAGGCAGTCACTTACCTCTAATGTGCTGGGGTCAAAGGGGGAATCTGAAGGGCGCAGCATTCTCGGTTTCAACTCTGGAGCTGATTTTGGTGGTGACGGTGTTGTGGTGGGGCAAGGAAACGGTGGTCCGTGCCTTGGTAACGTCCCCCCTGATGGAGACTTTTTAATTGACGGTTCTCGTTTCGGTGCCATCTCTAGACCTTGAAATGTGTCCTTGAAATGCCAAAATAAATCAAGCAAAAGGCTCAATCAGATGAAATGCATGTATGTCCTCTGATAGTGGAAAAGAAGAAAAAGAAAGAAAGGAGGCAGAAGCAGGCAGGTAGAGGGAAAGAATCTAGGATGAATTGATGCAGTGGATGTGCATGCAGTGAGAGTGTGCGTAGGAGGGCTGTCTCACTGAATCTGTTTCACTCTCTCCGCTTGTATTTATATGTAGGTCAGAATCGTGTACATATGTGGGTGTTATAGGGTGTTGGTGTCAATAATAGACAGCAGTGTCACTATAGGATAGAATCTAATTTTTACAATTGCATCAATGTGTGTGTCGTACGTCTTGATATTGCTGAGTTCTAAGTGTTCCAGGGTCAACAAGGGTGGAGCTTATGATACAATGTTTCAACCAATCATACAATGTTTCAACCAATCAGATGTGTGTATGTGTGCGGTAGCTGGTCACGTGATGTGACAGCGCAAATTTAGCTGCAATTTTTGAATCTCATCCTAACGGCATCATCACGATCCGTGAAAGTAAGTTAATTTCCTTAGTATTTGCACCTAAGACTATTCATTACTCAACATAGGATATTGGTTGTATTTAGTACTGTCGCTCTCTATATGCAGAGTATGCAGGTTTAATATTTAGTAACATTAACATAAACTCAGTGTAAATAAAAAATATATCGATAATTCATTCATTCATTCATTCATTCATTCATTCATTCATTCATTCATTCATTCATTTTCTTTTTCTTTATTAATCCGGGGTTGCCACAGCTGAATGAACAGCCAACTTATTCAGCACGTTTTTATGCAGCCCTTCCAGCCGCAACCCATCTCATTCACACACATTCATTTACACTCATACACTACAAACAATTTAGCCTACCCAATTCACCTGTACCACATGTCTTTGGACTGTGGGGGAAACCAGAGCACCAGCAGGAGACCCATGCGAACGCAGGGAGAGCATGCAAACTCCACACAGAAACACCAACTGACCCAGCCGAAGCTCGAACCAGCGACCTTCTTGCTGTTAGGCGACAGCACGACCTACTGCACCACTGCGTCGCCTATATTAATAATATATTGTTAAACACATTTTTAAAAACTAATTTTATGACGAACGCAAAAAAACAAAAAGTAATTTTTTTCCGCCGCATATGTGCAGCATATGGCCCTTATCTTTACGGCTGCGGGCAGCATATATCTACAATTTATGCAAGTTGCAGCTCTATGTCTGTAAAAGACAACAGCAGTCTGGAGCTGAGAAGAAGAAAAAGGACATGATAAATCGCGTGCATCACTTTCAGGTAGCTTATGTCCATGAATCTGGAAAACTTGTATTTTTTTTTGGTTGTTCAATTAAATTAGTGAGGCTGACGTTTAAACTTCGTCACAACTGCACAAATCTGCCTGATTTGTTGTTTACGTTCAGTTTCTTGCTTTGCTGCTCTGCATTGTGCTTTAACATGCTTTTATGACTTTTCTTGTTTGCCACTCTGTTGCTGATAATTACATTACATTATTTTTAATAACTTGTGCAACACTTTACATTTCTGTTTGCACACCAGCTACATGCATGGCACAATTATTTCACTGTATGTATTGTTAATTATTATATAGTTATTATATTCTATAATTCTCTGCAGTTATATTTGTTTATTGTTTTGTCTATTTCTATACATTTCATATTACTGCTGTCCTTTCTAAGAGCTGCCAAATTTTGCTGTATTGTTGCAATGACAATAGAGTATAGAGTACAATAAAGTCCCTTTAGTCTTTGCATCGGTGGATTTGTGTGTTTTTTATATCCCGCTTTTTTTTTTTTTTCATTTTTGTACATTACAATATAAAAATAACAAAACTGACTAATATTCTATGATTTCTGAATGATCAATAATACAAAATGAGTCAAATTACTGTAAGCCACAGGTCATAAACCATTTTTATTGCATGAATTTATAATGACTATTTTTTTCTGAACGCTAACAAAGTTTTTGTTTAAAAATACACTTTTTAATTCTTAAAAACCACAAACGCCTTTGATTTATACTGAAAGCAAGGGTCAGTTTTTGTCACTATAGATTATAGTGCAGGTCAAATCCACATCTTGGTTGTAGTTTAGACACATTATGAAGAGTGCTTGACTAACCCATTGTCTTAATAGTATGTCATGAGTTTTTCTTTAAATGACTAATTTCTTCTGTACTGTACATGGAGGTTCAATGCTGAAATTTGTCTCAAAAGAAGATGAGGTGGCATGATCCAGCACTGCTTCAGAGGCACCAGCAGCTGCACGGGTAGACACAGGATGCTCCACTGAGGACCGTGCATCTCTACAGGTACAGAGAGGGTTTTATTCTTTACCTTTAGTAAATGTTTGAATTAAGGTATGCTTTGCAGAAGACATGTAAGTGTTTATTTTAATGTATATTATTTTGTTGTATCAACCATAATGGAGTGTGAATGAATGAACTCAAGGTCCAAACAGTCACTGAATGGCCAGTACCCACCACAGTCAAGGAAATCCAGAGATTCTTAAGGTTCACAAACTTTTACTGGAGGTTCATTCGCAATTACATTTCAGTAGCATCACACATGACATCATTACTGAAGGGAAAACACAAGAAATTGAAATAGACTGATGAAGCTAATCGGCCATTCATTGACTTAAAGGAAAGATTCACCACAGCTCCTATTTTGAAAAATCCGTTCCCCAACTCACCTTTCATTTTGGAGGTTGATGCCTCAGATCTGGGCATAGGAGCAGCACTGTCACAAAGGAACATCAGGTAAATTGCACCCATGTGCGTTCTTTTCAAGAAAGCTGACTTCTGCAGAACGCAATTATGATGTGGGTAATAAAGAACTACTGTTTATGAAGGAGGCTATTGCAGAATGGCGACACCGTCAGCCTCCTCAAACCATTACCCATTCCACAGCGACCCTAGTACCATCTTTCCATTGACTTCATCATTGACCTACCTCCTTGAAACAATTTCACTAGCATTCTGGTAATCGAGTCCCTTTACCAGATTTACCCACAGCCATGGAATCCGCTCAAGCTTTATTCTAACATATCACATTTACATCACAGGTCTGGAGAGCCTTATGTAAGAAATTGGACATCAGCGTGAGTCTCACAACTGGATATCATCCCCAAGCATTTGACCAAGTCAAACGTCTCAACAAGGAAATAGACCAATATCTCAGGATTTACTGCAGTAGTTCTTACCATGGGCAAAATATGCACAGAGTTTATTGACTCACTCCTCAACCGGACTTACCCCCTTCCAGTGCATCTTAGGGTTTCAGCTTCCATTGTTCGCGTGGTCTGGTGAGCCTTCTGCAGTTCCAGTGGTCAATGAATTGAGTTCCACGCCAACCAACGACGACGTCCACACCCTCTCTACCAATCAGGACAGCGGGTCTGGCAAATAGCTCAGTACAAGGTACATTGGTCCTTTCAAGATTCTTAAGAAAATAAATGAGTTGACTTACCAATGGGAGCTTTCTGCTAACTTCTGCATATCTCCTTTCTTTCCATGTATTCCTGCTCAAACTGGTCCACCTGGAGTCTGACCCTGGCCAGGAGGACCCAGAACCACCCCTGGCTTTGGACATTGATGGAAACCCGGCGTACAGGTTAAACGTGTTGCTGGACTCTAGAAGAAGAGGGGGTCAGCTGCAATATCTGGTGGATTGGAAAGGGTATGGACCAGAGGAGAGATCATGGGTATCTGCCAAGGACATTCTTGACCCTTCTCTCATCGAGGAGTTTCATCGAGCCAAGCCCGACTGCCCAGCTCCCAGACCACGGGGGTGCCCACGTAGATTTTTGAGTGTTTATATGTATATTTATGTATATAAATAAATAAATACATGTTTAACAGTATATCTTTTTGTTTCGTTGTGGGGGAGCCACAGTAAAATTTTGCATAGGGAACCCTATTGGCCAGCAGCGGCCCTGGTTGCAATTTCGTAATAGATCTGTTGGTAAAATCCTCAAATAAGGCATACATCATTTGAAACCCTTGTTAATGAGGCCGTTATAAGCGCCATCAGACCGGGGGAGAGAGTTGCTTTTTTTCCTGTGATCTATTATTATCAATAATATTATAATTATAATGATTTTTATAGACCAGCCGTCTTTGTTTTTATAGTTCATGTAATCTTAGACAGACAACGCTTGATCACAATATAATAATAATATTGGTTATGAATTTATTATGAATTAATGATAAGTTAAGGTACACACTAATCATGAATTAACTTTAACTACAACATGAGTGACATGAGTTCATGTGTAAATGTCACAATCACCAACGATCACTACTCCATAGATCGCTGGATCTCCCTCACAAATACTCATGGACTACAATTCCGCCATTTTTGGACTTCATATTCATACATGCACTTTGCCCAGACACACATGCTTCCTCATCTAAACTGATTACATTCACACCACCTGAGGATTGTCAGAGACTGATTGTACACACTATTTAAGGCACACACTCACCCATTCAGTTTGCCGAGTCTTGTTCACTGTAAGTAGCACTACAACGCATTTTCCTTGTCTTGTTTACCCGTGTTTAGACCTAGCCTTGTATTCTTGTTCTCCCTGCCTGCCGCCTGCCTTTTGACCTCTCCCCTGTTACTGATTACAATTCTGGACTTCCTACATATACCTGTTTGCACCTGTATTGACCATTGCTTGCCTGACCATGAATAAACCTGCATTTTGGATCCACTGACCTTACACGCCAGAGACCTGAGTTCTAACCCAAAGTGTATCATGAGTGTTTATGCATAGAATGTATGATGTGTGGGTATTTGTATAGAATGTATCGTGTGTGTATATGTATAGAATGTATCATGTATGTGTATTTGTAATAATAATAACCTTTATTTAACCAGGTAAGTATAAAATGCATCATGTGTGTATATGTAAAGAATATATCATGTTTGTCTTTGTATAGAATGTTTCATATGTGTATATGTATAGAATGTGTGATCTGTGTATTTGTATGGAGTGTGTATATGTATATAATGTATCATGTATGTATTTATGTATTGAA